TATGGAATGGAATGTAATAGAATATTGGAATGGAGGAGAGGAGAAGAGAAGAGAAGAAATATGTAATGAAATAGAAAAGAACAGAGTAGAGTAGAATTGAATTGAATTAAGAATAGAATGAAAAATAGAATAGAAGTAAGAACAGAACAGAATAGAATTAAGAATAGAAGAGAGTAGAACAGTATAGAACAGAAATGTTATTGTCACTTTAAATGTACCCTTATCAGCATACATTCAAATGAAATGCCGTTGCATTCAGCTCTCAAAAGACAACCGTTATGCATATACCCTCAGACACACACCTATGTAACGGAGAGAAACACCACGGTCTAGTTCAGATGCTTACATGGCGAGAAAAACAAAATTCGCGAGTTTACCAGCCAGCCGGCCTAGGGAACAAAGCTGTTACAGAATCTGGTCGCCTTGCTAGAAGCACTTGGGAACCTCCTCCCAGAGGGGAGCAACAGGCCGTGAAAAGTGATGTGTGTGATGGGGTGGTGTTGGTGAGCGTTTCTAACCTGTCTTGAACTGATGACCCCTAGTCAGAAGTAAATTGCACCCCCAAAGTCTTCTTGGCTGTCTTTTGGCCTTGCTGCGATGTCTCTGCTGATAATGGACCCTTTCAAGACCTTGAAAGTCGGACACGGTCTTTGCATAGCTGAGAAAAGTACACACACAGGTGCACCCCAGGTACACAGGGCTTTGTTGATCCCTCTGCTTTTTCTGAGCTTTTTTACGGTAGGAAAAATGTTCTGGGTTTGGAGCCGCGGCAGGCAAGCGTGACAAGAACACGCTCTCTTCCCCCAAACTGATTTTTTAGGTGCTTATACAGGCAGTCCTCGACTTACAGCCCCAACTGAGCCCATTTTCTTATGTGTTTGTGGCTCAGCGAGACAGTTGTTCAGTTGGTTTTGTTCCCCGTTTTATGACCTTTCTTGCCTGAGTTGTAAAAGGGAATGACTGCGGCTGTTAAGTTAGCAACGTGGTTGTTAAGTGAATCCGGCTTCCTCATCGACTTTGCTGGTCACAAGAGGGGATAACGTGACCCCAGGACTCTACCATGGTCACAGTTACGAGTCATGTGCAAGGTTGACTCAGCCTTCCATCCTTCCCGAGATCGGTAAAATGAGGACCCAGATTGTTGGGGGCCATAGGCTGACTCTGTAAAACCACTTAGAGAGAGGTGCAAAGCACTGCAAAGTGGTATATAAGTCTTAAGTGCTATTGCTATTGTAGGATAACTTTGCCCACTGCCAGCAGTTCGATCCTGACCAGCTCAAGGTTGACTCAGCCTTCCCGAGATCGGTAAATGAGATTTTACCAGATTTTGGGGGTCAAGAGGCTGACTCTGTAAACCGCTTGGC